TCATCAAACCTTCAAATACACCTTAACCACTTGTCTGAATGGTACAAAAATGGCAAGTGAAAATTAACCAAAACAAATCTACACACACAACATTCACACTTAAACAAGGAATATGTCCAAACATTACTCTCAACAATGTATTAATTCCCACATCTGATACAATTAAATATTTAGGATTATTCTTTGATAAGAGACTTACATGGAAGAAACACCTCCAAACCAAACGGCTAACCTTAAACAATCGCATGCGCATGCTCAGACCTTTGCTAATTAGAAATAAGAACTCCACTCTAAACACCAAACTAACAATCTACAAAGCGTTACTCAAACCAATCTGGACATTTGGACTCCAACTGTGGAGCGCAGCAAAATAATCTTATACTAATAGAATCCAAACTTTCCAAAACATATCACTCCGACGATTATCCAATGCTCCACCCTATATTTCAAACACGCTCTTCATAATGATTTCCATATGAAAACAATAGATGAGGAAGCACTTCCTACAAACGATTTCATAAACGACTCCAAACTCATCCAAATCATCTCATAAAAGATCTTTTCATCCTCACTCTCCCAGGAAATCCCGACCGCAGACTAAAAAGGAACTGGTGCCGTGACCTCTTAGAAAACTTTAATGTCTAACGTCTCATGATCAAAAAAAAAAAAAAAAATCTAACTAATCAAAGTCAAGAGTCACTAATGAGTGGTTGCTTAATTCACAACTTTCATGTCATTTAAATAACTCTCAACCTATAAACTTATTGTGCAAAACTGTATAGATTGTTTATTTCAAATAAAAAAAAAAAAATTTATTTCCTGTCATTTATTCTTCTGATATTCTTTTATTATGACTATAATATTACAATACTTCTAATTTACTTTTTTGCGAATCCCAGAATATAATATTGATTTGAATCCGAAGCATGAAATATTGGCGAGTGCCAATTTTAAGATTAGAAGGTCTTGGCGAACCCTAGTAGTGCCAACCGCATATTACACACACGATTAACATACTCTACCTGAGTGTGTACAACTCGAGACTTTAACCGACGATATGATCTCACTGGTGAACGTGTGATCCGACTATTGTTATTGAATCATAATTAGGTAAGGAGTTATGTTAAGCAGGTTAGTATTATTGTTATTGTCCGTGATACAATTTAACGAATACGATATTTGTATGCCGTCAAAGACGTGAGAACAGTGTTTAAAATCGTAGCCGTTACATCCAAGTTTAGCATTCCAAGTCGGTTTGAAAAATAAAATAATATTTTCCCCGACCAAATTTAACTTAATTAATTTCAATGGCAGCAGCAGGAAGGTTTCCAAGTGCCCATCACAACCAATTTCGGTGGTTAGCGGTGAAATGTTCGAGAATACACGCTTGACTGGTAGCAGCGACGAAGAGAGCAAACGGACGCTACACACACAAACATGTATTTATAACTTCACAATAGGTATACCGTGGCGCTTTAATAAGGAACTCATGTTTACATGAAACTAGCCGTCTGGCTTCTAGTGCATTTTATATTTATCATAGCCTGAGACTAAACGACAGAATAATAATTAATAATATACGACCAAGGAACACGCATCAGATATAGAGTTTTCGATTTATAATATTAATGATTTACGTGCGTATATACTACACACATAGTATTATTAAAAAAACATTAACATTGATATCAAAACATACAGATACATTATCCTATTAATTGGTTTTCAAAAATAAAAATTGTTATGATAATTTGAGGAAGATTTTGTTGTGTTTTTTTCTCGACAAATTATTTAGCTCTGCAAATAGAAAATATGTTTCAGAGACTGCAGAATTTTCAAAGCATAAATTTTATTAGAAAATTTCAATGTTAAAAGTATTTTTCAGTTTTTATTAAAAATGTGAAAATAATTATTTTTAAAAGGGTTATCGTCATATGTACCTATTTTATTAATATAGATTTATCGTTAGGGTGGTTTTATTCATTCAATTTACTTGCATAATATTGGGCAATAAAATGCATTCTTTAGAAATAAATTAATAAAAAAAACATTCTTTTTCAATAAATAAATTAATAATTTAAATAAACTTTTTCATAATAAAACCAAAAATAACATCGAAAAAAACTTATATAGCAGTGAATCAATGTCATACAATTAGTATAGAACTATACTCATAGTTGTTTTAATGTCTATGAATATTGTCAAATCATATGAATTATCTACACGTTATTTATTCCATATTATTAAGACTTTTCTAATAATATCATTAAATAATTTTAAACATATTGTTATTTATAACGTGAATAAATAATTATCCTTGATTTATACTTTCTTTTATTGGGTAGTTAAAAACTATAAACTAGTACATCATCTAAATTGTAAAATGTGTAATAATTATTAATTATTGTGATTTTAATCATTGGGGGTATAATAAATACTGGATTGTTAAAATTTAAGTAAAAGTATACTATGAGTTAAGGTATAAATATCGAAATAAACAAATGTACTCACGTTAAGTCATTAATAAATTATTTATAAAAATGTTACTATATTTCAGTGGAATGGAAATGTAAAACACAACTTGTCATAGTTTATATAAATCATTGTAAACTTATTGCTCGCACAATAAAATATAATAAAGTATTTATTAAATTAATTACATTATATATTAAAGTATAATACATAGATTTTTTGTAAATTATACTATTACGCAGTTCGATTTCCAAAAAAATATTTTTGATTATTTTATCGATTGTCAACCCATATTTTGCGAAAAACATATCCAATACAGAGTACTATTTTAATGGAGAATAACATAACTGTGAATAAAATATGGTCACATAAAACGTTTGAAATTCGTTCCAATGGACTGAAGGCTAAATCTACATTGGTAACTCTTATTTGGCGTGTAATATAAGCCTCAAAATCTCTATTTATGACTACAATAACGGGGAAAATAAATAGAAATGCCGAGTGTAATGTTCTTTAATCATATACTAATGTTTATTTTATTTTTTTTCGTTCACATGGCCGATATTTGGTTTTGATATAATACTATCGTTTTTCCAAATCATATGATTTTTTTTTACAATTGGCATATTTAAAACAAACTAAACTCAACGTCAGTGGAATTAATACGAAATTAACCCAAAAAATGAACGCGCAACAATTTAGTAAGCAGTTTAATATATTCGAGGTCATAGCAACAATCGAAAAACCAATATTCTAATTGTTATTATAATACGAATTATAACTTCCATAAAATTAGCAGATTTAAAATCATTTCAGTACAATTCTCAATGGAAATACACAACTAATTAAAATTTAGGGAGAAATCAAGAAGAGAAATTACCGATTCTACGAATTTCGTCGCAGTCGACAAATTAAAACGCGTTTAATTGGATTTTCAAATAATGAAAGACGTATTTTCCTTCAAATCCATTAAATTTATTCCACGCGGTTAATGACTCAATTCTGATAAATTATTCGTTTGCAGTCTTGCAATGTGCATTTTTAAACCTACATAAAATCGATTACCAATTTACAGTACGATTCGCTGGATATTTCATAGACGAAACCAAAGAGAGATAGGTCCATAACGTTATGACGCCATGACGGCCCACTTCAAGTTCTCAAATGACGTATCCACCCTTCCTATAGTACTTATGTACGGTTCAAATCGAAAGCTGACGTGTGGAAGTACGCGATCCAGTGACGACATCCTTTTTGGTCGGAAATCGTTTGTCGACGAGAAATTTCAAGATGAATAACACTAAAATCTTACGTAACCCGTCGCATCACTCGCCACAAATGTTATTGTTTGCCGAATTTACGCGTGGAAAACGAGAATTATTCCGAAAACACAGTTTCCTCTCTTATACTCGACACCAAGAGTTTCGGCCAAACTGCTTCTGGGAGTTAACCTTATCAAACGACGAATCTGAGAAATTGTCTACTTTAGACATTTATCTCACTCTTTTTCCCTAATGTGTTTAAAAATATATTTCACTCTTAAGAATAAAACGAAAACTGTTGTTTTTCTTTTACGGGCTTTCTTCACACATCAAGAACAATCATAAAAATTAAGTGCACGCGTTATAACAAATAAATCGCATTCTATTACTATCGACCTAGAACTAGTCTTTATGTTTTCATTCAATGATGACGATTTTTATTTTTAAGTGTTACAGCCTACAACTTACAATACAATATTTGTTATAAAGTGCTTGCCGATAAGTTAAGAACAAAATTAAATAAACCCCATTAAGGTATTCGGTCGTTTGTAGGACATCAATTGATCTTTGTTAAATACAAAAGCTTCTATAGAACAATTCAAAACACAAATATTTACAAAATCCAAACACAATCTAGAAATAAACAGGCCAAATAAAAGATTAAGTATGAATGTCGAGTGTAATCGGTTGAAGAAGACAACTATATACTTAAAGTCTTCATATCACAATCACAGATGTCTATAAAATTATATTTATGTGCATTACCGAAATCTGTGATTGCAATAGACTCAAATATCAAAAAATAATATTAGATTATTGTTTTTTTTTCTGGCATAATTTGATATCAATATTAATTGTATTTTTTCATAATTAAATGTATTTGGTTTTTTGCGGCGCATTTAAATTCAAATTATATCCAGACCACTTAACCAAATTTATCGAATTAATTATAATATTATCGCTTTAAAGAGGTTTTATATCTTGTGAAATTTTACAATTTAAAGCCATTAATGACTTTCTGACAGTAGACTAATAGATATTTGTCAACGTTGGTCAACCAACTGAACCGGATGAAAATCCATCCAAATGAATAACGTTTCTCTTAAAAACGATAACACGAAATTAAGAAATAATAATTTTGTTATTTACATGATCAAAACGGTTAACATATTTCGAATAGTTATAATTTTGAAATCATTCATATACGAGCACAATAAAATATTGCAATTCAGAAGCGCATTAGTTTTTATTCTAGTTGAAACTCACCTATGGTGGTGATGACGGACAGCGAGTAGAGAAAAGATCCGGAAAAGGACCAACGGTTCATCTCTTTCCCTTCGCCCTCATAGCTGAAGTTGCGTACGGCCTCGATGACGTGGCTCTGGAACGATTTGAGGTGAACCTGAACCTCCATCCGCCATTGTTCCTCGCAGTACTCGTTGCAGCACGTTAGGTCCCAGATCCGAGACGCGGTGCCGGTCCGGTTGGCTTTGACCCGCTCGGAGACGGCGACCGCGTTGCCGGACGTACCCTCGATGAAGATGAACATGAACGCGCCGGCAATGGTGTATCCCACCACCAGGCATATGATGCCGATGTTGCTGAACAGAAACGCTATAAACTGGCGCAGGTAGTCCTTGCACTGTTGCGTCCACGTCTTTTTCCGCTTGTTGTAGTACCGCCGGCTGCTGCGTTTCCGTTCCATGGCCGCGGCGATGACCGCGCGCGATGCCGGTCTTGTTGCGGGAGCTCCGCTCAAAGTGACCACGGTCCCGGTCGTTGGATCTCCCGGTCTCGGTCGGCGACCGTTGTTGTATCGATCACGCACGGCAGTAATACGGACACCGCATCGTCTCGTTCGCCCCGCGACGCAGAGCTCCGACGACGAGCACCGCGTGCCGCATCGCCGACCGCGATCGCGTCCATCTTACCGCGCACGCGCAGTACGGGGCGACGAGAACCACGAGTCCGCCGAGGTGTGTACACGAATTCGACGTGGCAAACGACGGTCCAACGTACCGGGGGCTCACCTAAACGCTACGCAACGTTATTAACATCGTGTCGCAGAAACGGCAGTACGGTGCGGGTAAACGGTGGTAGTAGGCGGTGCCAGATCCGATCGAATATTACGTACCGCGAGATCGATGCACCGATTCGGCACGGAAAAGCGGGACGGCGCGCGGATCGCACTCGTTACTGCGATATCGCTCGAAACGGTTTCACTGTACTCAAAATGGGTACGCGAACAACGCGTGACACGAATCGAAGGTGCCGCCGCACGGTTGGGTTTGCGTCTCTGTCAACGACTGTCTACGACGGTCCGGCGTGGTGTCGGGGCAGCCGGCCGTGCCGTGCCTCCGACGCCGCCGCGCGAGTGTATAAATAGACGCGTATCTAAGCTCACTGGACCACCGCGTGCCGCCACCGTTGCACCACCACCGCTGCCGTCCTACCGGGATACGATCCGTCTAGAATTAGACTTCGACGCCGACGCTGCCGCCGACGGTCTCCCGCACACGGTCCGATTGTTACGCGCGCGTGGCGCCGCCCGGCCAACGGTGCGACACGCGCGTATTATTATTTTCACGCGACCGTATCGTTTGTCGGCCGATCGCAGTCCACCCTGAAAGTCCCGACGAATACTTGTTCGCTACGTACACCGCACATGCCAATTTTCAAAATTCGCAACACCAGTGCAGATTTCCAATGCGTTCTTCGTTTTCCAAACCTTTCGAAATACTATACTTAGTTACGTAGTATTGCACTCAAAAATTAAATCGTTGACGTTAATTTTTTTGTTTTCTTTTTGGTGTACACGTTAACGTGCAAGTTCTATGGAGAAATTAACGTATTCGTTCTGTCGTTCATTTAAATTGTTTTTTATTCGATATTTTTCAATCCAGCATTCGGTACAAATGGTACGTTAACTAAATGTATTAGGTATATTTTAATTTATATTTAAAACCTATACCTGAAACATATTACAATCAATATTTATTATGCGTACATATAGCTTTAAAATGTTTAATACCAATTGAACGCCCATAAAATTGTTCAGATTCATAAAAAATATAATTGTCGATCACAAAATATGAAAGTGAATGCGTTTCACGACGACGTTCTTTCCAAACACTATAGAATCGTGAATGTATCACATTATTTAGAGGAATATATTAAAATCACTTACCGCACCCGTTCATAAATCGTATAAAACCGACTCCAAGGTTACGTACGGTTACCGCGATAAATTCCACAAGAGCCAGGACCACGGTTCAACGTTACGTCGTTCCATATAAAACAACTGTCTCCGATTGGCTGAACCATTTGGGCATACCAAACACCTAAACGTGGAACTTATTACGCGTTACCGAAGTAACCGTCTACCGCGGAGGGACTTCAAGCAACTTCTTGTCGTATACGTCGATCAAATTGTACGACACACAAACACACGACTTGAAATAACACATGCCTCCCGTAGTGGCTGAGTCACGCGACCGTAGTAGAAGACTTCTTTATTTACATGTCTCCTCTTCTTATCGATCCGCTTAAAATAATTAAACTCATTTGTTGCTTACATATGTTAATCGACGATATTAGTAAAATTATTGCTGCACATTTATTTTTTAGTATACCAAAACGTTAAATTACTCTATTTCTTATTGCGGCATTTACATTGATTTTCAACGTGTTACACATTTTTATAATTTTTTTTTTTATACATCATAAATTGACATTAATTTTAGCATGAAATACATAACATTATCATCTATATAGATACTAAATAGGCAATACATAATATTATGTAAAACGAAACTTCGATAACGTAGACTTTGATAAACATTTTTCATTTTACTTGGCTCTGAACACAATTCATTGTATTGTGCTACAAAAGCCTCTACATATTATTATTCTATGTAAGTCGGAACATTTATTCAAAACAGAAAATGTTATTGATTCCATTCTATTCAGTTCCCATGCTGTACTACACTACTGGGGTATTAATTTAATGTCACTGGTTTTATTCACACGAACAGTCGTATAAATAAAATATTTCACTATCGGTTGAAACACGAATAACAATAGTCTGTATGCATAAGAAGCTTTTTGAAGAAATCCTATTAATGGACGATATCTTTGCATTTCGATCACAACTCGATAATAAAATCACATGTACCAATAACTTTTATGATTTCGATACAAATATTTGTTTTCGTCAAATTCAGTTTTTCTTCTTAATTTTTTATAAACTTTAATTTGGAAGTATAAAAAGCACATGCCTTTTCGGTTAAATCCTCTGATCTAGTAGATTATTGCTTATTATCGTTTTGTTTTCCATTTCTCATGTACGTTTTCAAGTTAAATATACAAAATGAAATTTTGTAAATTCTGTACCAAGACTTTGATTTAACGAACCGGAAATCTTGATCTCAGAAGTTCTAGAACTTATTATGTAACTAATGTTCCAAAATCCAACGGCGATTCGAAGATTCTTCTTTGCTATGTCAAACGAGCTATATATATATATATATATATATGTCACTGTGTTCTACCGGTTTTTATTTCGGCAATTAATATTGAATTTTTTTATTTTTTACTCTTGCAAATTATATTTTGTGTTAGAGGGACACGTATGTAATTATTAATAACATTTTTATTTTCACCCATTAATCACTTTAAAAAAAATAACTTTCCAGTTGATGTAATTATACAACTTTCAATAGAACCACATTGTGTAAGATATTATTCTTGACATTTTAATACGATATACGTAAACATCCAATGAACATTTCCTGAGTTATGACCATTTTAATTTCTAAATAAGGGGTATGAAAAATATCAACAGTTTTGAATATGTATGAATTATTAGTAATTGGTAGCTTCTACGCCATTCAATGGTAATTATTTGATCTAAAATCGTTTTTCTCGTTTTCTCCAGTTTTCAACTTGAAATTATTTAGTCAACAATAATATTATATTATTTATTTAAAAAATAAAATCAATTGTAGTTCATGAACACCGCAGTACTATGCATTTGACTTCAATATTTATATGTAGTCCAACTTGAATCCAGAAACATACGTAAGGTACACACATTTGTAAGTACCTTTTTTTCATTGAAAGTTTGATCGGCTACCCAATCGTTATTACATTTTAAGTCCGTAATTAATAAGCTAAGCCATTATAATAACCATTTATAATATTACAATTGCGATCGTCGTTAACGGGTTGGATACATTTAAGGAACTCGGTTAAACGTTCTGATGATGAACATTATTTAATACACCCACAAAGTGCATTCAATGTAATTCGTCCGAGGTCTTGCTTCACAATACATTTGATGGTATTTAATTAACGACGAAAGCATAATATTAAATTTTTTCTATTGGTCAAAACACGAAGTGGATATAATATCCTTTCCCCACCCCTTGCAGACCATACAATTAATAAAAGCATTGTCCGTATAGAAATATTGTTTATGTTAGTTCAGCAAGAGCACAATTTAGTACATGTATACCTTTTTAGATTATCAATATTATAACGAGTGACGGAACATTTAATAATAACATTCCGCAAACCTCTCTGCGATACACATTATAATCGACAGAAATATTTTCCTCGTGCGGTCGCAAATGTAAGCGCATACTATGTTTGTCTTTCCTATTGGAAATTAACCGTGTATGCTACGAAAAAATATATACTAAAAATAAAAATCGTTTCACTCGTGCGTTGTAATAGGGCAGTAACTTTACTCGGTCAGAACGTAGTCTTATTACTCATATTCATCTCGCATATGTTAATAGTTATAATACGTTAATTGAACATTGTTCTGCACGACAGTGTCTTCTGACCACAAGTCGCTTATCGCATAAAATATTTTAATTTTACATGTGAAACCTTCCAGCTGTAGCGAGTCGGCCTGCGAGAGGGCAACACAATACACCGCTCACGAATAAATAATTGAACGGTTCACGTCTGTGATGTTGTAAGGTGTTGAAATGTCAAAACATTATGGTTTAATGTTATACAGGTATGCATAATAATAAATAAAAATAAAATATATAAAATATGTAGTTAATACAAATTAAATAGTAATCGTAATTGAAAGTGTGAGGATAGATATATAAGCTCTGCCCGAGAATAATAAAGGTTGCCTCTCAGAGCTAGCGGTAATGTGAGGTGCGCGGTCTTCACGACCAGATGAGCGTCGGTGCAATAAACGGAGTAAATAAGTTAATATTAATCTAAATCATTCTACTATTCTGAATACATGGGTAAGTGGATACCGTATTTATAGGTAGCCATTAAGGATAAGAGTATTCTGACAGATATGAACAAGGAAACTTGCTTCTGTGATATCAAAATAGGCCTTCTTTCGTGGAAATTGCGTATCAATACGAATAAGTATCAAAAACACGACGTGCGCGCACATGTAAATAATGTCTGTGAAGTGAACATTTCATGTTTCGTCGTTATGAAACTTCGGTAAAGATCGTGCAATATAATTATGGGTAGAACACGATTGCGTACGTTTGTCCCTATTTTGGCAACACGATTGAGTACGTTTGTAGATGGGTAACAAAAAGGTGGGTAAGAAAAATAAATAAACATGATTGCGTATGAAATTGTATGCAACGTTGTCAAATTTACTTATCTTATGGTATTATATCTATAGAATACATATACATACTATTTTTTAATAGTTCATAAAAAAAATTAATAATAAAATAACAAACAAAATGAAGATAACTAAATAATTAATAAATAAATAAATAAAATTGATAGTTTTTATTGGAATGAAATTATTGTTCAACAAATTATTTGAAAATGCTTAAATTTGGATTCCTTGATATCTACTCGTATAATCTACTACTTTTCTTGAAACACGGAAAATACCGTATAATATAACGGAAATAACAAAATTTTGTTATATTTGATATATTTAGTATCATTAACAATAAACATAGGTAATAAAAATGATAAAACACAAAGTGACTTAACTTTTTCAAGTTCTCTCATATAGGTATGTTGTGTACACCAATACTGGTATGAAAATTGGTGTCAACGTTTAAAACTTCGTACGCAATCGTGCAGTGGTGTATTTTCAATTTTTTCTAGGGGGGTCCACAGTTTATTCATAGTTAACTATATAATATAAACTATATATTATATTGTAATAGTTACGTCCTTATGTAGTTTTTGGAAGAAGTTGAACTAAATATATAATGTAATAATCGTATAGTCTTATGTAATATTATACATATGTACCTATATATTGTATTTAGCATTATATATTATAAAGTAAGTGTTATTATAAAATAAATTCTAGTTGTCTCAATTTTTGGTCAACTCCTCTATCACTTTATCAACAGTAATTTTAACTTCTTTGTGAATGTTTAACATTGCCAATTCTACAAATATGTAAGAATTTTAGTTTATTTTTATTTTTTTTGGAGAGGTTCTGGGGTGGATCTAGTACCTCCGGACTCCCCCCCCTCGTAAATACGCCACTGCAATCGTGTAGTTAAATATCAAGTAAAATCGTACGGAATCATGTAGCTTAAAAAGGTATCGCCGATAATGAACGTACGCAATCGTGTTTTACCCATAATTATCACGACATCGTATCATCGTTTCGACGGTTCACTAAACATCTGTTCGGCAATAGAGTACTGCAGTGATTTTCAACCAAACCATAATTCGACTTGCAACAACCCAGTGCGGTTCACTACAGCTTGTCCGTGTTTAATTATCCGATGGTAACACACAAAAGTCCGATGAAAAATGAAACCGACAAATCACAGACGATTCGATGTAAATTGTTGCAAAGAGATTATGGAGTGCGCAGCTGTTGTCGGCAACAATATTTACATCACCGAGTCTTCGATAAACGGAATGGTTTTTAAACCTGAACAAAAGTCACGGCCAATCGAATGACGGACAAAAATTATCAACGAAATTGATGTTCACGAAACTACCAATTAAATGCATGCGTAATGCGTTCACGTAGCCTTTTTAACACTTTCAGGCGCATATTATTTTGGTTAGAAAATTTTTTTTTTTATTATATGCTTTAATATGGTCTAATTAAGGTTTTTTATGAGTATCATAATTTTTGAATTTTTTTTTACCAAGTTATAAGTAGGTACTCTGTACTTTAATCAAGCGTCATAATTTCTTATAGTTATGGTACACTACAGTGTATTTTGGATCTAAGAGGGTTAACGTAATAGTTAAAAATCGACGTGAACGATTCGAATTATTCGAAACCAGTAGGTAGGTATATTTACGAGTATTACCCTAATTAGGTATGTTGTATGGATAATATACCAGACAGTGTGCACCATAATTATGAACAAAGTTTGAAAGTCGTTACATAGGATTGAGTGCGGATTCGCAATAGAGTCCTTAAAACTGACTGATGCAAGAACAATTTTCGCATGCCCCTCTAACTCGGAACTCATAGAACATTGAATCGGTAGAAAATTGCTTTAGATAAATTGTTCGAGTCGTCTGCGTCCATTAACGTGGCTTCTCCATCTATTAATGAGCTATTACGATTCGTCCGTGGTCACGTTACTGTATTGAAAAATATATGCGAGTCGTGGAAAAGCAGAGCTACGTCAAAAATGTCCTCTGTTGCCGGACCGCGTGATCGTCATCGTTCGGAGAAAGGTAAGAAAATTGCGGAAGCAATTACGGTTTCAACGCAGTCGTGTAATATTATAACGCCAATCATTCGAAACGTGTTTCTTGATCCACTACCGTACCGCGTATAAGCGCGTACCAATACGTTATTTAATTATAAAATATTATATTTTACAGTTATATGCACTCATATTCAGTTCGTTTTGGTTATTTTGTTTCGACGATAGGATACGCTTAAATAAAAATAATTGAAAACATTTCATTTCGTTTTTATTATGTGGAAAAAAATCTCAAGTCCATTTTTACGACCGACTGCGTCAAATGAGAGGTGGCGGTAGGAACAAAGAGGGGAGATATGGATTAGTGTTTCACTGCGTTTATGACGGTGCTCTGTGCCAAAATATCACGACAATGGCAACACATAAGATTCAGTAGTTTAGTAATATTTTGTTGCGATGACTTGGAATCGTACAGTTTTTTATTTATTTATGAAGACGTTTTATTTAAAGAAATTAACTTTCTCGAGATCACTAATCTCCATACGCACACTAAGTGACTTAAAATGTCTTAAAACAACAGTTCAACAATTTGTTACTTTTGCACAAGTTTTTTTTTTTTTTATGAATTATTTTGAAGTGTTTCATTGCTAATTCTAATCATTACAAAACTAAAGCTGTCATTATATATGTCACATTATTTTGTTTACGCAATAATAATAATAATAATAATTTGTTTTTTACTTTTTTATTTTTATTTATGCATGTTTTTCAGATATGATATATTTTATTTCAAACTAAAACTTTATACGAACATTATATTTAAATTTTAAAAATAAATATTTTATGTAAGTGATGTTCAGGTATGGTTATATGGCTTATAATAATTCTGCGATTCGTAGTCACTCTGTTTCTTTGATATTCACGAAAAAAATATGCTTATGGTCTAATTCTTTTTTACAAACGTAAAAAAGAAATGTTACCTCAAATAATTCATAGATAGTCTTTTGGAAAAATAAAGTTACGTGGAAATGTAAAATAAAAAAATTAACTAAAATGAAATAAAAATAATGAAATGTAAAATCTTATAAAATGTGAATATGAATTGTAAAAGCATATAAAATATATGTAGTAAAAAATAAAAATGTATCCATCTCGAGAATGCCCGTTATATTGTAATGGCTTATATCATTTTGTGAGTAGATATACACACATATTATGTGTAAATATATGTATACATGTTAGGCACAAACAGCAACGAGTGTCTTTTGACACAAATCGAAGCATCATCGTCAATCTCTTATTAAATATAATATCAAAACTGACTTTGAGATATCTATATATATATCCATAGATTTTGGAAGTATATATATATATATTTTTTTTTTTTTTTCGCTGCTCTCTTTTGGTTTTGATTTATATCCATCGAAATTGGCTCGGTTGTCTCGATCTATAATGCTGTCGATGTCGGTTAGCTGTGATGAAATATCATATCCGTATTATTACTCCGACAACCGTATAGATAAAGTATACGTAAATATAGGATAATAATATTAATGCACGATCTGTTGAATCGTCTTATGAAAACACACGAGTTTCATAATTTTATGCGTAGACCATTCAAATTTGGGATTTATATGAAGTAATGCGGATGAACTGATACCGTCGATATGGTATCGATGATACCGAAGAAATGACAAGTCCAAAGTCGTAAAAGTCGTTAAGATATTATCTCTTCGGCAGTCCCGTAATGTTATATTGTTACCAGTAAAATATTGAACTGGTGCTTATAAAAGAAAAATATTATAAATCTAACTTCTGAATCTAGAGTCAAGATTCCCACAAGTTTTATCTTGTAACCTTGTCAATTGAATTTGTTACTTGAAGCTGTTTGTGCACTATCACCGTCTCTCCGGTGGATGTCACGTCGAGCACTGAATCGTCGCGAATGTTGTCCCCGTTCCCCGCCACATCTATATTATGTAACTGTGCACTCGTATTTTACCGCTGGCGCGGACACCCCACCGCAGTCCTTTTGTCGCGCACGGTCTTAGCAGATTTCTTTTTTTTCTCGCGTTCAGTTTTCGACGGTGTAGTGTGTTTGGGGTCTGCCGATCGGTTTGCCGCGTCCGTGCCGCCAATTTTCAACGGAACGATCGATTTTGCGTCGAGTTGTGTGTGTACAACAGTGCCGTCGTCCGAGTTTGGTAACCGGCCGAGTGAATCGTCCATTTGACGTTGTTCGAGTTCCATTGGTTTCCACGTGGTTGTCACTAGTGATGGGAAAATTTCAGGGAATATATTTTTGGGAATTTCTCCGGTGAAATTCCCAACACCGGGAATATAAGTTTTTAAATATTGATCATAGGTTTCAGTTTTAACTTAATCTTATGGCTGTAAAAGATCCAAATTACAGTTTTTTACTGATATTATTACAAATTAGATATTTATTCTTTTAAAAAAAGTTACTAAGTAATTATAATTTAGTTTTTTAATTAAATTCTGTACAATGATCACAAAATAAATGATCAAACTTTTATATTTATATGTAAATAAATAAAAATAAACTTACTGAAATACTGAATAACTTTTACTTATACATGTATTGAAAAATATATATTTATATATAACTATAGGTAATTCAGTATCTTTATTTATAAAATTAAAAACATGAGGTACTCTTAAATCTTAATTAATACTTTTATAATAACAATATTATTAACTTATGATAAAAAAAAAGAAAATTATTAATAAAGTATTCAAACTACTACTTTATATTTAAATACATTTTAAAAATAAACATAACTACTAATAAATTATCCACATAATCGTTATTTTCTATGCTGTGTAATTGTAATGTATGTGTATCTTTGGCTGGTTTAATTTTCTTTATAACTTCTAATGGGCAATTTTTACAGTTTTTTATTAAATACATAGTCATTTTAATAGCATTTTTACAAGAATATTGGAATTTCCAATAACAGCATTCAAATATATTTTTGCCATTTACAGTTTTTTCTTGATAATATGACCAAAACACCAATTTTTTTTTACCACCAGCCATTTCAATAGAAAATTTGTTTAGCACCAAACAAATAACGTACTTTATATACAAATACGTGCACTAGATTTAAACACAAAAAGTTATTAACAGAAATGTCAAAAAGTTTGTAAAGTGTGAAACTAAAAATTTTACTTACTAGGTACTATAGTAACAGAAATTAAATGTATAAAACTAATAATTATGTAATTAGAAAATACTAAAATAAAATAACAATAATTCTATAATCAATTATAATCTAATATATTGCTTATCAATACTCAATTGTATGTCGGTCAACAAAGCAGTTTAACCAATTGATGTAAACAAAATACACTAATGTGTATTATAATTATATATAATTATGTAATACTAAATATTGGGACAAAATATCCTGTAATAAAATATCCAAGATTAAAATATCCAAATAAAATAAAATTATAAAAATCTGTATTATTAATACCTGTATAATTTTTTTTATTTAAATATATTATTGATCATTTTTAGATCACATTTTAATAACATTTAACATTAATAATACTTTATAATACAATTATAAAATAATAATAATAAAAATAATATGTAGTGTTACGTTATAATTATACCTTTAGTTTTATGTAGTGCGTTACTACGTAATATAGTTTTATTTTTACTATTATTATTCTATTACAATATTATAAAATATTAAGTAATGTTAATTTTGATTTAAAATTGAATAATATATCTAAATAAAAAATAAATAAAAAATGTATGTACAGATATACAGATTTTTATTATTTTTTTATTTGGATATTTTGTCCTATACATTGGTTATTTTATCCTTGGATATTTTATCCGTTGGATGTTAACCTTGAATGTTTTGACATGGATATTTTAGTACAGGATATTTTGTCCTAGATTCCTAATGTATATTGTTACTCTAGTACAGAGTACAGATGTACAGTAGTATAGACTGTCATTCTATTCCCACTCAATTTTTTTATTTTTTAAAGAAATTTCTCGAGATGCTGGGAAATATTCCGGGAATATTCCCTGTTCCCGGGAACATTCCTCAGGGAATATTCCTAGTGGTACATCAATAGTTATCACACGTAACCACCTTTTACGCCATTATGTCGTGTACGTCGTGTCCTTCAGAAGTGCCAACTACTTTCCCGACGAGCGTAGTCCATGGTGATTATATGGGTTGGTATCCGTGTCATTCGCCATCGTAACCCAGGAGTCAGCTGTCGTGTCATCACCCCACCCATTCAGATAATAGTGTTTATTTTTTTGTTGTGTAAATAATATAATCTTGTTTATGCCCAAGCGCACACCCTACTTTGGTGTACCGTTTTACCGTCCCATAATTTTAATATCAATTCATTATCTACATGTACAACATACCGATCACAGTTCACATTACCGAGTCCAAAGAACGGATAGCTCATTAATTTATAATCAGAAAATACCATCTTATGTAAGTCCTCCCCCCTCCCTTAACCATATGCAGTTTTCGTCGCTGGGAAATATGTGTCAACGACAATGTATCTCTGGCTGCACTCTGACATCCAACCGCACAGACGTCATTTTTATGTAATTTTTATTTTTCAACTCAAATTTTCAAACCATACACATGGCCGCCTAAGCCCACGGACATGGTCTATGGCGGATGGAACAACAAGGATGCCGAACCACCACCAACTACACCTTGTTGAGGTCAACAATACTGTAAAACAAAATAATGTTCCTATGAAATTCCTTTTTTTTTTTTCCTTTTAAAATATATTTCTGATCCTTTCGGATCATTAATAACAAAAAAGAATTCGGTTGCGTATTATTATTATTTTTATTATTATTAATATTATTATTATCATTGTAAAAGATTTAAAAGAAAAAGAAAGAACAAATTACGTAACTGAAATACTCTGGTAACCGTTCGCGGAGCCGCGTAGTGCTAACAAATTATTAAATACATTCCCCCTCTCCCGTTTCGCCGAAAATTTCCTTTTAATCACATACATGTTTTTTTATTATTTTAAATTTATTATTTCATGTAAAAAAAAAAAAAAAACTATTATTATTATATTTAATTTTTGTTTTATCGTTGTAATAAACAAAATTCTCTCTCATATTTTTCAAATTTTAACTCAAGTAAATAAAAAAACCCACGAGCTCAATCGCACACCTTTGAGAGTATACGCGAATCGGCCCGTGGGTCACCAGTAGAGTGTTCCCCTCGACTAGTGGGTACAAGTAGGCCCCCTAAAAAAGAAAAGGGGCTGAAGGTTACAACGTTATTCTACTTTTTTTAGCTTAAGTGCCCATTCTGCATATCCTACACAGAATTTAAGTTTTTCCATTTAAATACAATTTATTTTTTTGGAAACGCACGTCCGCGAGTGTTGCGCGGCCAACTAGCGATTTTTTTAAAAGCTCCGTGACGTGACGGTGAGTGCCAACAGAAGCACTGCCGTCCTGCATCACAGGAAAATGTTTGTGGACAGTAATGTGTGTGTGTGTGTGGATTCAATTAATGGGATGTACAATATTATCATGTTCTAATTATTAATTAGATAGAATAAATAAAACAAATCCAGAATCGTTATTTTTTGCAAAAAACATGTAATCAGATGTATAAAAGATTTTATTAAATCATTAACACGTCCATCAATGCTTAATTTATATATTTATAGTAAAAATAAGTTTTAATCGTAACAAGTTTTAGTTTCAAAAAAAAAATCATAACAAGTCATATTTTAATTTATAAATATCACACATCAATCATTTATCATGTATACGAAAATTCAATTTCATTGAACTACCCCGAACGATAAACACTGTACAAAACTACTACGAGTACATGGGTAGTGTACGCGAATAAAAACGTAGCAGTATGACCCCAGAATACATAGTGGTCGGATTTTTTAAAAGTATTTTTCGCTTTATATAGTTTTTTTTAAAAAAAAAGAAAAAAATTTAAAAATAGGAGAGAAAAAATTGGAAAAATATTTGAAACTTTCCCAAATCGTGCGAGACGTTATTTTCTCGCTTCTCGAAATTTGTGAAGTTAAACACCGCAAACTTTGCGCTGACAGCTCGTAACTTTTCACTGTCGATTTTCGCAGACCATGTTGTATATAAAGTATATATTCAACTAATCTTTCCATACTCCCACGAAGTATATAGCTGTTGTACGATTTGGGTTTTCAAAAATAAACCGCTCGAAACAGTAAAATCTTTAACTAAAATACAAGTACGACGTCGTGATGGTATAAAAATGATTTCTGCAGTCGCGTAAAAAGTTTAAATAATACACGTAATATAATCTGGTTTGGATTTTTAAGTTTTTGAATTTCTATTTATTTGTCCGCGCCAAAATACCAATTAATATATTGAAACGGTAATGTAGATTTATCGGAAGGAAAATCGAAAACGGGATTTCCTACAACGGGAATGCAAAGTAATGCAGTGAGACATGGGAGTGTAGGATTTACTTTGAAATTGACTACAAATGTCTCTACGACGGCCCTGGCAACATGTCAATGGTGCACAAAGAACATTAAGAATACGATATCCGTATTAATAATCGAGAAAATAAAATATGTCCGGAACAAATTTGTTTTTAATTTTATTATGCTTAGGAATATTGTTGCGAAAAGAGTATAAATCTAAAATCTAATAATTTAGCCAACCGGACGACAATACTGTGGCATTGAACGTGGGCACGAGTTGATGGCCATAGAAATGTGAAAAACCACTAACGGTTGATGAAATGTCAAAAATATTATCATGTACTAAGATACAGGTAAAAATAAAAAAATTAAAATGTTATCATTGCGGTTGCTGAGAACTGTTCTGAAATTTATTATTTCATGAATGATAATGTAAAGAAGAATAATAATGTGATGCTCTCTCGGAACTTATATTATTTAATAAACTGTATGCATTCTATTCACATATGGTTTTTAATTTGATTGTATTATTTTTTTCACAAATTCCTGAGGTCTAAAATAAAGCACTAATTAAGAAAATAAGAAATAAAAATAAAATTAATGGATATGCGGCAGTACCAGGGATTACGTTTTGATATTTTCTTTTCTTTCTTTTCATGGCGGTTTTTTTTTATGTTATTTTTAGAAAAGTCGTTTGTTGCATAAGGCTGACACGTGATATAATATTATATTATACAACATCGTTCCCGAGTTTTAACCTACAAACGTTACAGAATATGTTGTCCTTAAAATACACCATTCCACGTCCCATTGTTGACGTCGATTCGTCGCTGTCTGATTATTATTGAAGGTTGCCATTTTTATTTATAAACTACGGAGTGTGTGTGGACGTCAAATTAGTTTTTCCAGCACCTCTTATTGAACCATAATTTTCAATTGTTGGATTTAAGTACGTTCTAAGACCACATATTTTTCATAAGAAAATTAATTATGGAAAAAATCAAAATAAAGAATAAACGAAGAATCGTTTAAAACGAATCAATACGATTATTGATTATCAAGAGATTATGTAAAAAATAACGTTCAAAAATATATTTCAATACAATTAAAAAAATGGTAAATGGCTATGGTAAAAGTTTGAATCCTATCAATGATAATATATATGAATCCTATTAACGCGTAAATTGAAATTTCAAATCGAAATAAATATTTGCAAACATAAGAAGAAAAAAAAATTACAATTTCAAATAAAACACATTAAATGAAATGCGTAAATAATATTCAATAAATTGTAACAATGTGAAATTATGGTCATAAATGATTAAATTTTTTTGTTATACATCTTTTAAATAATAGATTTCCGTTCAATTGTTTTCGTTTTCCGTTGTCTCCATGATGTTTATTTAATTTGCTTTTTGACATCACTAAACAGCGGACACTGCAGACGCACTTTGGGTGAGCATTTAAAGTTCGCCATAATCGTGTACCTAACCACTAGTGCTCTGCACGGTCCGTTATTTTTAGAACCAGACTAGACTTCAAATTTTACAAGGGGACTCAAAGACCAAAATTGGACCGTACCGACGGATT